GACAGAGTGGTAGAAGAGCGGTTTACCAACAAGGCACGGATCTCGTCCATTCTTGCATCGTTCTCTTGTTTGTGTGCGTCGAGCTTGTTGTCAAAGTAGTCTCTTGTTCGTTGCTTGAAGAGTCGCAAGTCGGTGGCGAGATTGTCGATGCGGTTGCTCATTGCTTGTTGTTCTTGATGCAAAGCTCTTTGTGCACCGAAGATGTGGCTCTTGGTGACATAGGATGACATGTCGTCGTCTTGCTCGATGAAGAGTGGGTTGGTAGAAGAACTTGGCCTATCCATCATTCCAAGCAAATATGTGAATTGGAGAAAGAGAAGAACTTATACCAAATGTACCTTGACCGATGTTGAAGATGGATCAATGATCACTCAAATATGTAACAAGGAAATAGCACAATTGGTACCAATTGTTGTCGGTTCTCACACCTACACAAGTAAAAGCTTATGGTGGAGCTCGGGGCACAAAATTTGATGCAATTGTTAGTGAGCTTAAAAAATGTTGGAAAAGATTCACAAATTTGCAAATGCAACAAGTAGACTAATAGCAAGATATGGTACACGGAAACACACGCACGAATAGAGAAATGGGGTCATGCAACCAAGGAATGAGCCAAAATGTGGAATCCATGAAAATGCTCTTGTTGCACAACACTAGAGAGACGCTAGCACAATTGCACAATAGGCAGATACGAACTTGTGCACAACCTACTAAGCAAAGATGCAACGACTTCTATCCCAAGTATGCTATATGTATGGTATTCCGATGGTATGATCCAAGATGATCGGGTATGCCAATCTTAATGTAGTATGATGCTATGGTTCTTGCTTATAAGCTCTTTGCTTATCTTCCCCTTTTGCTTAAAAGCTTGTTTGTCTCTTTCACTTTTGAGCTCTTTCTCATGCAAAACTTCACAAACCAAGATGACAATTGTGTATGCGATGACAACTTTGTGACACAAGAGATGATACCAAGATATGCACCACGATGATATGGTATGTATGCTATGGGAAGTATGATCACTAATGTGCACAAGTCACGTTGCCGGCAATACTCAAAGGCTAGTCTCGATGGGAAAGCAACGCAAAATTGGGCTATGGTGGTTATCAATGCAATGGTAAGGAATAGACAAAGATGTCGTCAAGGTTACCATCGAGGTAGTCGTTTGTAAGCAAGGACGGTTGTTGGCGATGATGAGTCCTTGGCAAGATGAGTGGTGGTGATGTTGATGTCGAACCGTACCTATATAGACAAAACACAATAGGACATGGGAACCACAACTCAAATTCTCAAAGACCAAATGTGTCAAAATTGGCGGAGGTGCTAGCGGGTAAGCAATGGTGGAGCTTGTGGGAAAGCGGTGGCGGTATGCGGAAGTGATGGTGGTATGCGGAAGTGAACGTGGGCATCAGAACAAAATTTGGTGAAAGTTAGGCGGGAAACAGGGCGGTGGATGGAGATGTTGCTGTCAGGGGTCGGATGTCCGGGCTGGAGGGCCGGATGTCCGGGGGTCGCGGGCCGGATGTCCGGGCTCGGGATCCATGGATGAACTCGATGAACTCCACGGGGAAAGGTCAAATCCGGGGCAAAATTCGAGAGATTTTGTGGATGGAAATTGGGGACAAGAATGGGAAAGCTAGATCTACTTGCAACACACGAAATCTGCGGATCAAATCCAACAAAACTTCATCACACCAACAAATCACAAAAAAATTTGGGGGGCTATTTTTGTGGGGAATTTTCGAATTTAGGACAAAATCAACAAAATCAAGCTAGAAAACAAAGAGGCAGCCTCCGAAATCATGATCAACGTGGCTCATGATACCAAGATGATGTAGGGTAGAACCCTAGATGCCTGATCTTTCACGAAAGGAGCGGATCCCAACGAGGAACACGAAGAACACGAAGGGAAACACGAGGGACAACATGAGAGAATCACTCAAACCAACAAGATTCGGTCACACATATGCTAGATCCTCGAAACGCAAAGATTGATACACGATTCAAAGTCAACAAAGGAGGATACAAAATGTCTTCTCCGTGAGGAGGTCTTGAAGGGTCTTCCCATGATGGGGTCTTGAATCCGCTTGGGAGATCTTCTCCGAAGAGGTTGTGAGCTCCGAGGAGAAGTAACCAAGTGGATGAGCAAAGCTCTATCTCAAATATGAGCTAAACCAATGCTAACCCTGGAAAGAGGGCGGAGGAGGAGTATATATTGACTAGGTGGGCAAAGGGGTACATGGGCCTCGTCCCTTACACTATACGCAGACAGGGGCGGCCGGACGTCCGGGCGTTCACGAGACGCCGGATGTCCGGGCTGGACCGGCACCGTCATGATGCTCTCTGGATAGGGCTGGTCCGGATGTCCGTGACTTCGCGAGGGGCCGGATGTCCGGGGTCGTGGCCCGATGTCCGGGCTGTTGGGGCTGGTTCTGTAGCCTTCGGGATGTCTTGTCCGGATATCCGGTCTGAGAGTCGGATTTCCGGGGCATTGGGCCGGATGTTCGGGCTGGCCGTCGAATGTCCTGGCCCTGTAGACTTGGCCGCTGGTCCTTTTCTGCAGGTGTCACCTCCAGGGGCCGGATGTCCGGGGACCTGGCCGGATGTTCGGGGACCTAGCTGGATGTCCAGGTCCTGGGAGTTGTTCTTGACTCCTTCCGTTGGTTCTCTTCATCCGTGAACTTGGGGACTTGTCCGTCTTCACGTGCATGCTCGGGAGGGTCCTCTTGGTACCTAATCATGCACAACATTCCGGACTTAGGTAGTAGCCATGTCTCGAGTGGATCATATGTGATATCACTAAGGAAAGAAGTCACCTCGGTCTCGAGAGCTCTAGCTCGTGCTCGTGTCATAGGTCCTCTTTGGCGAGACGATGATAGGTCCATGAGGATGACCTCAGGATGCTCCGCATCAATAGGCGATGCAAGTTGATCGCTCGGGTCGACAATCATGGAACACTTGTTGCTCCAGCTAGCAGTTTCTGTACTTATTAAAACAAGTCTTGATTGAAGGTAGGTGCCTATGGTGGGCTATTGATACCTTCGATGGATACGACGTTAGATCACCTACAATGAGCTCTACACACCAATCATGCGATGGACGATGTCAGCACTAGCAATTGCTAATAATTTTCATATGGCTGACTCTGAGTACTACACCCAACAAAAAGCAAAGATGGACCAAGTCAGAACCAAAACATATCAAACTTAATGTTGATGCAACCTATTTCGAGGATGAGGCAGGTGGTGTAATATTATCGTTTCTGAGGGATAAAAAAGGTGTGTTTCTTGCAGTAAGGTGCACTTACATTCCCCATGTTGCGAATGCTATTTCCATGGAGATAAAGGCAAATGTGTGATGGCTTAAACTTCACAAACCAACTGGGGTTTTCTGGAATTAAAATTGAATCTGACTCACTTAACGTGCTTGAGTTTTGCACTGAACAGACAAGATGGTGGGATGTTGCTTCTGCAATCTTTGTGGAGTGTGTCGACATAGCTACTTTATTTGGGAACGACACCTAATTATCGTTCTGCTAATCATATAGCGCATATGTTAGCCAATAATATCTTCTGTAATAAGATTTTGCTTAGTTGGACAGACAAACCTCCGGATTGTCTGGTCGCTAAATTCGTGGACGATGTAATGTTTTTTATTTCAATAAAGCCAACCATAAATGGGAGCAACTAATTAACGAGCGCTCCTTCGGGAGCCTCGCAACGATCAGCGCCACTTGGCGCGCTCTCAGCTATTCGCCACGTGTCGCGTTGTGGGCGCTCCCTCTGGATTTTTTTTTATTTTTTCACACGCGTTTTCGGCTTTTTAAATGGTTTTTTCTCGGTTTTTTTGATGTTTTGGTTTTCCACCGGTCTTCCTTAGCTTTTCGACCAAAAAAAATTCGAATTTTTTGTGTGTGCAAAAAACCGCATTTTTTTCCGCGAGCGTCACGGTTTTGTTTTCGCGAGAGGCACGGTTGTGCTTTCGCGAGCGGCACGGCCGTGCCTCTTGGAAACGAAAAAAACGCATTTTTTGTTTTTTCCTTTCGCGAGAAGCACGGTTTTGCTTCCGCGAGAGGCACGGTTTTGCTTTCGCGAGAGTCACGGCCGTGCCTCTTGGAAACGAAAAAAACACGTTTTTAGTTTTTTTTTCTTTTGCGAGAGGCACGGTTTTGCTTCCGCG